GCTAATAGCATGAATGATTCCTGCGCTGTAGCCTAGCACTTGGACTCATACTGGCTGTGCTTTAGCTTCTTCCGGCATGCAGAAGAAAGGGCGTCGTTTTGGATGAAGGTGCTGCATTATAGGGCCGCATGGGCCTCCAAGTACATGATTATCAGTTTTTTGCATGAAGCTCAATCGGTTTTTCAGGCAAATGCTCGCTCTTTGAAAAAAGTACAAATTTCTTGGAAATCGGAAGAGGATTATGAAATCCGCAAAATGCACTCGTTTCTGAGCTTGCGATAAAGTTGAATATTTCTTATAACTACCTGCAGAGAATTTCACCTCCAAGCAGACTTAAGACCACACATGAAAGTAGAATATCCTACAAAGTTTCAGCCTCGTACCTTATCTGGTAAGCGAAATTGCCACTTCGCTACAACCTTGAAGTGCCCTAAGTCGCATCGCAAATGCAAATCGGAACTCAATTTAGGCGTAAAATTTCCCACATGGGCGATAAACATGCTGAAAAAATTTCAGCTATTGTTTTCCGGCTAGTTTTCGAGTCAGCACAGTGCTAAGTATAAATTTTGACGTGATCGTACGCGTTGCGCAAGGATGCGCGGCAGCTGAATTTTGAAATTTCTAGCTCGCATATACAGAGAGAATATCCCTACAAAGTTTCAGCTTTGTATCTTGCCTAATTCGCGAAATCGTCTCCCGCCAAGGAAATTTGCATTTTTTTCAGGGATCTGTACACGAGGTCTAGGCATGTATGAGCAAAAATTTTAAAACGGGAGGATGACACAAGGGGTGGAAATATGTCCGCAAAATTTCAGCCTTCCAACTTTCCTGATTGCTGAGTTAAAAATGGGTAACAAAGTTCACTCGCTTCCGAACAAATACACAGAAGAGCTCTTGACAATATGCGTTTTTGCTTGCTGTAATAAAGCTATAGCGCTTCACGCACAAAAATGCGTGATCGCAGCGAGCACACTTGGGAGCTCGATTTGAAATCTTTAAACGAACTGGGCAGGGAACATCCCTTTAAAATTTCAGCTTTCTAGCTGTTCTCCTTACCAACTATTTCGTGAAAATTTTCACGCTCCGTACATGAATCGTAGACGTGCGTGAAAGCCGATATCACGTTGGCCATAGCTTGCCTGATTGCTGAGTAGAAATACCGGGACAGATGGACACACAGACGCACACACAAACACACGCACACGCAAATAAGCGCCCCGTTGCAGTGCTGTCACCCATTGCTTCCGAAAATAATTCAGCTTCACTCTTCAACAGCTTGGCTGACGGTGCTTCATTCATTACCTCCTGTTCACTACCGCTAACCAATGGCTTTATTCATAGCAGACTGAAAGAATTAACGTAGCAATACGGTCGCGCTTAGTAGGCAGGTAATCCACTAAAGCAACTGTCAAAGGATCGCAAATGTAAACCCGGAAACACAACGACACCGAGATTCTTCAAGAAGAAACGGGCACCGCCACGTAATCACACTACCCGACCATCAAAGCAACCCGGATCACAATTTCGAAAACAGAAACAACCCAGACATGAAAGCAGCCCAGGACAATGGTTCAGGCTTCACCAGCTGAACATCCGAACTGCAAGGCACTCTTCTTGTTGATTACGTAGCTGAGCGCGCGGGTAGCTAATATCGGTTGTTTCCTCAAAATCACTCAGTTGATTTTGCTACAGATGCACTTGCCAATGAAAGAAATAAGCGTAGCACATAATTAAGAGATGTGAAAATTGAGCAGACTTGTCTGAGGTTCAAGATGTCTGTGCTTGAAAAGCAGTTGGCTGATACCTCAGAATGCTGCACACTTTTTTATTTACCGTAGCCTCAAGAATGCTGTACGGCAATGCATAGAAGTATACAGCCGCCGGAGAAGCCCCAGATGAAGATCTCAGGCTTGAGTAATCCGGAACTGGTCGAGCGATGCGAAGAAGTACGCATCCCCCAGAGAGGTGCCCCGAACGAAGACCAGGCATGAACAATCCAGGATGTGTTCTTGGGACGGATGGGCTTCAAACTAATGCTTCAGAAGGCTTCAAAGTTCTTCACTCGACTATAGTCTTAATAATGCTGTATAGAGATGCAAAGAACTTAGCAGCCGCCGCCAGAGAAACACCAGGCTTGAATAATCCAGAATCCGTTCTCGCAACACGACGCTGCTTCAGCAAAATGCGCAGCCGTTTGCACCGAAAACGAGCAAGTAGATGGCTATTTCAGAGGGTTGGCAATAGTCCTGAGCAGTGCGTTAGAATCGTCTGCTTGGCGACAATAGCCTGGGCGCACGGTTATCACAGCAGCTCGAACAGAGCACTTCTGGAGCATCCAAGAAGCTCTGCTTCTCCGAGGACGAGGAGCAACGCGAGCGGCAATTTCGCAGACAGAGGCCGCTGGGACACGAAACGAGCCCCGGATAACGGTCCAGGCTGGACCAGCGGCACGCCCGAACTGCAAGGCTCCCGGCACTCGGCCCATTGATTACGTGGAAGGGCGCCTGCCGCGCGTGCGTGTGCCAGCGTGTGTGCCACCTGGATGTGTGCGTGTCTTTGCCTGAACGGATGCATTGGTGGATTCAGCGGGCAGGGAAAAGTGGCATAGGTAGCATTTTTGTTACTCTTCGATACCCTCTGTCGCCGCCGAGGAGCCCCACTTTCTCCCCGTCCCCCTCTTCCCTCCAGGAAAACGCCCTCGATCCGCCTATGCTCGGATATGTGCTTCCGGGTTGTGCGACGCTCTCGAACCTCCACTGGAGCCATTGCCTGGCAGGCGGCTGCTGGAAGCCCAGCCCAGCTACACTTGGCCCGTTAACTGCGCTACTCAGATCCCGGGGTCTCCCTGGGCACCTTATGCACCGTCTCGGTGAGAATTCGCGCCTCTGCACGCAAGCTCTGCGTGCTTTTCGTCAGTTCCTTTGCCGAGCCTGGCGCCAGCTCTGACTTAGTGTTTTGCTCGGTCCTCGCTTCTTTCTACGCACACGATCGATCCGGCGGG